GACAATGTATTCTGACAAAGGGACACAAAATGCTTTGGCTCCATTTTACTTACTTATTTTCCAATAAATAAATATATATTTTTAAGAGCTTTAATGAAGTATAATTGACATAGAATAAAGCACACATATTTAAAGTGAACACTTTGGTAAGTTTTGACATATATGTACACCCCTGAAACCATTACCACAATCAAGACAGTGAACTGTCCACATCCTGTCAAAAATTTCCTCATGTCCATTTGTCATTTCTCCTTCCATCTCGTTCTTCACTACCACCGCCCGCATCCCCAGGTAACCACTGATCTGCTTTCTGCCATTATAGACTAGTTTTCCTTTATAGACTTTTGTATAAATGGAACAATGCAGAATGTACTCTTTTTTTTTGTCTGTCGTATACTCAGCCTAATTATTTCCAGATTCATCCATGTTGTCGTATGTACTGGGGATTCATTCCTTTTTATTGTTGAATAGTATTCCATTAAATGGATATACTACAATTTCTTTAATCATTCATCTGTGATGGACATTTGAGTTGTTTCCAGTTTGAGGATATTACAAATAAATTTCCCACAAACATTCATATACAAGACTGTACACGGAAACTTGTTTTCCTTTCTCTTGGGTAAATAACCGAGTAGAATAGCTGGTCATATGACAGGTGTATGTTTACCTTTTTAAGAAACTGAAAAGTGGTTTTCCAACATGGCTGTAGCATGTTCTATTTCCATGAGCAGCATATAAGAGTTCCAGCTGCTCCACATTCTTGCCAGTGCTTGATATGGTCAGTCTTTTAACTTTAGCTGTTCTAACAAGCATGTAATGGTACTTTGTGGTTTTAATTTGCATTTCCTTAGTGACTAATGATGTTGATCCTCTTTTCCTGTCCTGTTAGCCATCTGTGTATCTTCTTTGGTGAAGCGTGTGTTCAAGTCTTTCGTTGATCTTTTATTGGGTTGTTTTATTACTATTGAGTTTCGAGAGTTCTTTGTATATCTTTATGTATTGATATAAGTCCTTTATCAGATATGTGACTTGCAAATATATTCTCCCAGTCTGTGACATGTCTTTTCATTTTCTTAAGAGGGTCTTTTGAAGGGAGCTCCATTTTTTTCTTATTCCTAGGCTAATTGTTGGGGGGTATAATTAAATAATGCATTTTGAGTTTCCTAAGAACACTCTACATAGGGAATTATAAAGCAACGCAGGAATTTTGAAACAGAATGTCAACTGAAAGTGAGCTTACTGATTTGCTGGTAAGTGCTTGATGTGAACGAGTTTCTGGAGTGCTTTCCATCAAGTCAATTAACAAGTTAAATGATTAATTAGTCCTACTAAATTTGGAGAGTATATTTCTGTGCTGGCAATTCTAATCCAATCTCAGAGTTTGATTGTTTTAAAGGATTCTAGGAGATTTTAGACAATTAAACTGATGTTTAAAAAGCAACAATTAAAGTTGAGAACAAAAGGATAAGTTCATAAAACAGTTTGTTTTTTAGGGTCAATAAGCATCAGTATGACAGATTTAGAGAAAATGCCTGCTATTGGCAAGATCTGGTTCTGGGTGCCAATTACCTTCTGACTCGAGAACTAGATAAAACTGCTCCACCTTCCAACAGCTGGCTCTGTCTGTGTCTCAGAGTCAGAACAGCCAAGACAGCATTGATGAGGGCACTGCCTTCTCTGCTGGGCAGACCTCAAGGGATCACATATAGAAGGTGATTAGGATGGTGGTGGACTTTCCTTAGAAAGGGCAGGGGCTATGGTAGATCCTCCTGGTGGAATGGGCTCCTCTGTAATCACAGACCACTTCTCATTTGCTATTTGATCTAAACCACAAAAATATCCATGAAAAAGGTTTTAGTATTTCCATGTATTTATTGGCTATTTATGTATCTCTTTGGTGTAGTATCCATTCAGATATACAACCATTTTTTATTGCGCTGATTATTTTCTTATTTCTGAGTTTTGAGCGTATTTTTAAAGAATATATTCTGGATACAAGTCTTTTACCAGATATGTGAATTGCAAATATTTTTTCCTGGTCTGTGACATGTTTTTTTCATTGTTAAGAGTATTTTATGAACAAGTGCCTGCATCAGATGTACCTGAGTGCCTGAATGTGCCAATGACACCCCAAGTGCCTAAATATCAGCTTTGTGAATTGCAAAAAAATATCATACGAATGTACGCTGATATTCCTCTGTATCTACATATGGTTGTTTATATGTAACCCAGAGGTTCGCCAAGGCCTTCTAATTGCTTAAGAACTAGATAAAACTGCTCTACCTCCTAATCTACGTCTGTGGAAGCCCAGTGTCCTTTCCATGGTTTTCCTGGATTCCTAAGGGGTGGGGGAAGTGGTTCTGTTGTCGTGGCTCTGCCTTCTGTCTCTGCTAATTTGGCTCCTGTGTGGACTTCTGGCCACACTATCCTTGTTTCTCCATACTATTTCAAACACGGACGTGGACACTTTCTATGATTTCTACACACATAGGGACTTTGTGTAGGTAGCCATCTCTCCTAAATGTTTGGAGGATGGAGGAGAGGCTTCCAATACATCACTGCACATAATTTCAAGTTGCATGTGAGAAATCCTTGTTCTTAAACGTCATTTATTTGGCCTACCAGAAATTTTCCCCTGCTGCCTTATTTCAAGGGGCATCCCAGCTCCAGACCATCTGATGGGTTTCTCTCTTTCCTGCTCAGAAACAGACGCACAAAAACATGCTATTGGTGTGGTACTATCTTTTGTGTTATCACACCCACAGCTTCAAGATCACACCTTGCATCTCAAAAGGTTCGGTAGATATTTTTCTAAACAATGAGTGCTCTCCTTACCAGGTATTCTCGTGCCAGCTAAGACAGTAACTTTACCCCTCACATGTAGCTATCTATTTAGCATGTGAAAATACCCACGTGCTTTTGGGTTAGCCTCTCTCATTCTTATTGGAATTAATATTAATTGTCATTTATCCCCTACTGGTGATGGACATACTTTTAGCATTCTGGATGGGCCGACATGCTCAGCTGTGGCAATTAATTTATAATTCTGTAGAAGACTCTCCTCCGTCCTCCTGGGCCCCCGCACACATATAGAAAAGTCCTTTCCAGGACTGCTCCTGCTTCTTGGTTCTTGGCCCGGTTCAGCTTTTAGGACCAGAGAACGTTGTGGGCAGTCAGGCCCCATTACCAAGATAGACTTTTTTAGCATCCTCTTGATTGCTCTAGACGCTGCCGATTAGTCTGCATTTCTACGTGCTCATCTTGTTTTTGACTCCAGGGCAAAAGGAATCATGGCTGCAGAAAGGATTTTGGCCGAGCTGGGGGTTTGGAGTTGTAGCGTGTGGGGGATGGAGGGAGTGAGGAGGTTTATTGTTTTATGAGGACCTTGACAGGCTTGGGACAACAAAGGCAGCAGACCCACCAGGATGGCACTTCTTGGGTCCACAGCGGGTGTGTTATCTCCGTCAGTCAGAAGAGGGAGCTCTGAGCTCTGCGCAATCTGTCTTCTCAGGAACCCTTGGCTGAGGTTTCTTCCTAACGCTGAATCCCTGAAAGTGAACTCAGAGCTCTGTGCTTCCCCAGGAGAAAATGCCTTGAGACAAATAAAGTCTGTATGTGATTCTTCCCTTTATACCTTTTTTGACCTTCACTCACTAGCTGTGTGACCTTGAGGCAGTTACTAAACTTCTTTTAGACTTAGTTTCCTGACCTGTAAAATAGCCATCACTTCGTGGTCCTACCGGAGGGATGCTTGTGAAGAGGACTAAATCCGGTTACATACATCAGAGCTCGGCACAGTGCCTGGATGGCAGCTGCTCATGGCAAGAACAGGCATAATAATGCACGTTCCCAAGGGGTTCAGCACAGACAGAAAAGCAGCTATGCTGGCCGGTGCCCAAAGAGCTCCTAGGAAATCTCCAATTTCCCAGTGTAAGCCCTGGGAACGTTAGTGCCCTCTCTATCCCACCTGAATTTCCTTGTCTCCCATGCTTCCCGGTTTCTCACTGGCCTGAGACTGGACCTAATCTGCTGCACCTGCCTTGGCCTTGGCTTTGGGGAGAGTGTGGCCTCGGAGACGCAGAGCAGCAGGAAAAGCCGGAGCAGACTTGCTTCTCTGGAAAAATAGGGAGCAAAACCAGGCCGATGGCAGGGGTATGAAACAGAGTTCTTTCTTCCTCTTGTGTCTGTGCCCTGGAAGGAGACAGAGATGCTGGCTCCCCTTAGACACCTGTACAGCTCGGTTGTCCCAAGAAGAGTACCATAAAGGGACTGCCACTTACAGTGTCCCAGAAGTGCCTGGGACTTCTCCCGCTTAGGCTTGCAGGGCACAGAAATATTTTACAATCCTGTGGGGTTGAGGGGTGGGGGGAGGCAGAGCATCTCGCAGATAGTAGGGATGAGCTCCAGGCAAACGCAAGAGCTGACATATTCCTCTGGGCACCCTGAGAGCCATCAGATTCTAACTGTGGGGCCAGAGAGCGGGACACAGGGCAGAAGCAGCAGCCCCGTCCTCTGAGTCCAGAGCCTCTGCCTGTCTCTCCCATTTTAATTCCGTTTATATGGGGCTCAAGCCACATTTCTTCTCCTGTACGGTTGAGGTCCCCTTCTCACCTCTTATCTTGTATATTCCGCATGGCTTCCTTGGATTTTAAATTCCTTGAAGGCAGGGGCCAGAAACTATACTAGTTTGCAGGCACATTTTACAAAGAACATTTTACAGGTGGTTTGCAGTTTTTAATCTGGGTGATTCTATAAATCAAGTTGAAATTAAAACAGCCATGTTGAATTTTGTTTCATAAAAAATTTATTTTCCAAGGTAAATGTTGAAATAAATAGAAAAATAAGTTAATTCATAAGTTAGTAAAAAATGTAAAGTCTGTAACTGTCCTTTCCAATGCAGTGCCTTAGCTGTCAGTCACGTCAAGAGCCTCTGCTGGGAAGACACCTGCAGTCACTGTCAGCATTGTCCCTTCTCAGAGATGCAGGCTGGGAGATCCTCAGTTTTGGAGGTAATCTGTGAGTCCGTTAAGGAAGGCCAAGTTCCTGAGCATTTCCGCTTGGACCACTGTCCAGGCACAGTGGCTGTACTTCTTGGCCTTCAGGTACTGCGAGATCCTTCCGTAGTATTTCTTCAGGCGCAGAATGGTTGTGTTTCCCCAGGTGGAGCTTTCCTCCTCCATTATTTCCTCCAGGTTTGTCTCCAGACGGTCCATCTGCAGATGGACTTCCACAAGGAGGTTCTTAACGATGGTCTCATTCCAGCCAGTGCTAGCGAAATTTCTTCTGAAAATACGCCAGGTGTGCTGGAGCATCTCATAGATGACCAATGCAGCATCCTCCTTCTGGAACTGCTGTGCTTGCTCAATCTCCTCAGGGACCTGGAAGTTCATTGTGTCCTCGGGGCAACGTTGAGGGGCTCCATTCAACTGCCGCAGGAGCATCAGACATGCTGAATTGCTGCTTCTTAGTTGGGACCGAAGCAAGTCATAGTTCACAGAAAGAGCCGTGGTGGAGAAACACAGCAGGAGGGCCATTGGGAGGATCCACCTGTAGGTCATGATGAAGACAGGAACAGCGTTGCCTTTACTCCCTAGGAGCCCAAGTGGAGGTGGCAACGGCTTGAGCTTAAATGTCCTTCCTCCGTGAGTGTGGGCTATTTATACGGGATGGTCCTCCACTCTTTCTATTTCAGAGGAATTTCCCACTTTCAGTTCTCCCTTTCTGTTTTCCTATGTCATTTACATTATTTGTAGTCTCTAAAACTCTGTATCCTTAAAGTCCTATTTTATTTTATGTATATTAGGGGAAAATATACAAACTCTGAGGATTTCTAATGTTTTGTAAAGTGTCACTGTATTGTTAAATACCAAGGAACAAAATAAGCTAAATCATTTAGGACTCTGCTATTACAGAGTTCTGTCATTTGGCAAAGTAATTTTTATTTTTTTGTTTTAGTATTATGAGATGTTTTTGAGGGGTCTTTGTATGGGAATTTTCTTTTTCATAAGAATTAGATTTAATTCCCAATTACACTATCACAAAACAATAAATATATGCATTTTATGATTTTAAAAAAGACAACCTACTTTTTTGTATCTAGCATCGAATAATGTTCAACTAAGCATATCTAAATTTTTTTTGTAGGGCCCCAACCATGTACAGCAAGACATCACATAGCTTTCTCAGCCACATTTGTTGCTTTATCTGGCAATCTCAACTATCTACAATATAACTGAAAACTAGGAATGAAGCTTTGTCTCTAAGCAGACAAAATGAGTGCTACACAGGCCATGCACAAAAGCTCATGGTCCCCTTTATAGGGGACCAGTGTGACCATTATTGAGGGCCAATGTGTTCTTATTTAGTACATATTTCTAACAAATCTAAATGGCTGATTGTCATTATCATACAAATTGATACCACATATTAGAAGGAGGTTTAGAAGGAAAATGGGAGGAAAAGAAATCCAGCAATCAGGGATGTACTGTTGAGACAAATGGTCCTCTTTCAATAATGCTGAGGCCATTTTGTTGTTAGAGTGTACTAAACGGTTTTCATAAGAGAGAAATCAGTAAAAAAACAAACTTATGGCTTGTACATCCTGTTTACATAGGCGGGGACACAAGTCATACATTTTTAAAGATTTCAATACAAAAGTGAGTTACAACAATTATGATATTTAAAGTAATTATTTTTGGTTTTCAGAAGCCCTTGCATTATCTTTCACCCTGAATTTCCTGAATCCCCATGTGTGCAAGGAACTGTAATGTGACCTGCTGCAGATTGTAATCCACGCTTTCATGGATCGTACAGTTAAGTAGGAGAGAAGAGCATTAATCAAAGAAATACACAAAGGTAAAATGCAGCACTGACATGTGGTCCAGAGGAGAGGTTCGTGGTCCTGTGGGTTCCCATGCTCTGGGGACATAATGTAGTGGGAGAGGTTAGAGAAGACGGCCCTCAGGGAGTGACACTGGAGCTGAAATCAGAAGGAAGGTCAGATGGTACTGCATGTGCAAAGACCCTGTGGCGGGAGGAAGTGTGGTGGGGGTAGAGGGCAGGACTGAAGGCCGTTGTGACCTTGAAGTCAGAGAGTGGTCTGACAGTGGTCGAGATGAGGCCAGAGGGCAGGTGGAAGCCACAGAACACAGGGATTGTGAGGTGTGTTAAGAAGGTTTTCTTTATCCTAAGAGCAGTGGAGGCCATGAAAGCGTTTTAGGCAGGGTAGAGTAACTTGATTAGGTTTTGGGAAAAAAACACTCTCTCTACATTAAGCGCAATAAGTCATGGAGGGAGGCCAGATGGATGCAAGCAAAACAGGGGATTTATCAACATGTTAGACCAGGAGGCTAGTGGTGGAGGTGAATACACTCATTTATGTGACACCTCTCATTCCTGACAACATCAGGTTCAAACGCTTGAAGAAACTCTCCATCATTTTACAGCAGGCTGCATCAGTTCTGTTGGTTCTGATGATTTCCGTATACGCTTAATGCTGAGGACATTGCTTCTATTGCACCAGATTGAAGTAGAGGCTGAAAGAATCTGGCTAAATGTGGATTTATAAACCGAGAGCAACCCTGAGCTCCAGGTTTCCCATCATCAATAGCTCTCCTGTCTTCTGACCTTTACAGTATGCTCCACCTATCTCCCCAATATCCCTCCATTCCTGTTCCTTCTTCGTTGGCTGTGTGTCATCAGCTCTCCCCAGAAGGACTATCTATTGGTGGTGTCAGAAGTTTTCCTGAAGAACGGCTTGTGCTTGAGCTGCACCGACACAATGCCTGCTGCGTGGGGCGGAGAGGAAGCAGCTTATCTTTCCTTCTAAATTAGGGGAGTGGGAAAGCTACCAGTGTCATTCTTTCAAATGAGAGAAGAGTATCGAGAGTTGAAATGATGGAGGAAACAATCCAAGAATATGAGGACAAGATTCTGGCAAAGTGGCAGTGGTAACTGTGTGGATTTGGGTTTCCCTGAGTCCCCACACAAAAATAGACACTGCGACTAGACAGAAACCAAAACCCCACTTAACGTACAAAGTGGGTTACATGAACCACAAAACGCAAGCAGATGAGGACAAACCACCAATTGCCACAAGATCTGCTTGGTAGTATCGTGATGTGGAGAAAGCAGAGGAAAGCAATGGACCTGAGAACCCCCAACAGCTGAGAGATGTTTTCTGGAAAGCCATCCGGGCTAGCTTGAGAACAGCAGCTGAAGCTGGGAGGGGTTTTGCCCAACGCAATAGCTGGTGAGTGTGAGGGGCCTCGGCAAGTTCGGAAAGCAGTGAACTGGTCTAGGATACAGGTAATTTTCAAACCAACCAGGCACAGCTCCCTTTGGGATGGGCCCTCCACTGAGGGGAAACTGCTAGAGGTGGAATCAAATTTGAGCAGGATAGAAACAACAGAGACAAGGAAAGAAGGCCAGACCAGTGGGGCGGACAACTCACCGAGCAAGCCACCATGTTCCTGAACACGTCACCAAAGCAACCGAAGAGGGAGCTCTGTCAGGTAGAAGAACCACTGAACGACTTCTAGAAGTCAGGAAAAATAAGCTCCTATAACATCGAACAGCAGAATAGGAGGAGGACTCAGTCTCACACAAAGTTAGTGTTAGAGGAAGGAGAGGAAGGAGCAGAATCAGATCTCCACAGATCGTGAGAATACACCAGGAACACAGTCAGCACAATACAGACCAACATTTTAACAAGGTGTTACCAAGGAGTTTGATAACATTAAGAAATGTTATTAAACAACATAAATCAGAATGAGATGAATTCAGAAATGAAGTAACATTGAAAGAAATAATTAGAAATAAAAGAAAGAAACGCAATTTCACTAAAAAGTTCTAGTCATGAGAAATGAGAGGATTTGGGGAAATGTGGCACCAGAGAGGAGCTTCATTCTGGAGAAATCTCAGCACCTGGAGCCACTTTACCACAGAGCAGGGTGTGGACGGAGGGGCGTCATCTTCAGGAAATGGAGATGGGTCAACGTTATATAATCCATGTCACGTTACAGGGAGCTCGTTATAAGGTAAAATGACCAAAATCAAGAAGAAAATTTGGGTATTTTCAATATCACATTAGAGTAAGGAAGACCTTTCTCAACAAGATATAAAACCCTGGAACTAAAATAGAAAATAGTGATAAATATGAGCATAAACACCTCATGAATTTCAGGATGGCAAAAAATAAAGTCAAAGTGGAAGAGCAACATCAGAAACAGTGTCCACACACAACAAGAAAGGGATAATTGTTTTCATGGAGAAACAGCCCCTAAAACCAGTAGAAAACTATCCGATAGAAAACATTAAACTAGCCAGATAGCAGGACAAGACATATAAGGGGCAATAAAGGATGAAAATCTGCTCAGTGTTACTAAGAAACGGGAATCAAACTAATAACAAGGCAGCCAATTTTCCCTATAAGGTTTTCCAAGGGCATGGACAAATAGTATTCTCATTTGAACGCATAAACTTTTTAGAGAGTGGGGAAGATTGTATTTTCAAAAATGGCCAGAACAATATCCCATCCCATGTGATAATCTACAGTGTTCTTTGACTCTCCACCCATCAAGAGGTGGTGTCTGTGTCCCTCCTCTGGAACTGGGGCAGAATTCTGTGGTGGAAGCAATGTTGTGTAATTTTGGAGGCTGGGCCAAGAAAGAGAATGCAATGTCTACGTTGTGAGCTGGAACTCTTGCTCTTGAAGCTGTCTGCCATCATGTCAGGGGTCCAACTGCCCTGTACCTGCCAGGCTGTGAGAGAGCCCAAACCAGCTCGCAGGGAAAGACCATGTGGAAATTGGCTATATATTTCCAAGTTTTAAATTTCAAACAATGGAATTGTCCCTTCAATTTGCAATACGACTGGTAGGAATTTACCTATGGATATTCCTGCTGAAGTATCTATATGTATCTACATATGTGTGTGTATATATTATACATGATGTATTCTATCAACATTTCTGAATGTTCAGTGTAGTACTGCCATAGTAAAAAAGACAAATTAAATATCCATCAGTAGAGAATCAGTTCAGTAATAGCATGGTACGCACAATGGAATACTATACAGCCATTAAAAAGGAAGATCAACTGATATGGACCTATATCCCAGATATATTTAATGAAAAGAGCAATTTATCTAATAATGGATGTGGTATTATCATTTGTCTTATAAGTTACTAGAAAAATGTCCATGTGTATGTTGATATGTGCATGCAATTTCTTTACCAGGCACGTTCACTTGTGTATTGTCGGTAGTTCCCCTAGGGGAGAATACTGAGGCTGAGGATGCAGCAAGAAGGAAACTCCTTTCCCATTTCACTTTGTCCCTGTAGACCTGTTTGTACATGGATTTTCCTCCGTGATAAAAAAGATACCTGGGAGATAGGATTACTAGTCATTTTCATACTTTAGTGCACTTTGTTTGAAAGAATTTAATGTGTTACTAAAGTTTTAGTCTTTCTTTTGTTTTATTCACATTTAACATTTTTTCGATAATGAACATCTATTATTAGAAATTAAAAAGCACCCAGTTATTCAAAAGCAGGATG